GGTGCTAGAAGTAATCAAAATTTTTTATCTGTTTGCAAAACAGGTAAATAAATCTACGAATAAAGTGTTTGTGGAGGAAAAAAGAAAAGCAAACCAAAACAACCAACCATTGCCATCACCACCAAAAAAGAAAAAAAAAACCCGAGGTTTGTCATTTTAATGATGGACTAAATTATAAGCATTTCTGACAAAACTTTTTTTTTTTTTTGGTGGAAAAAATAATAAGGTAATCTGAGAATTGGTTCAATATTTTGTCGTTGTTTAAAGCTTCTGCTTCCAGGCTGTAGTTAGATAAAGAACATTAGCTGCTACAATGCTTGCTATGAAATTATAGCAAATCACAACGTGGTGATAGCACCAGTTTTYAAGGCAGTCATTCTTATGGTTGAAATGTTTTCAGAGGTTGGTTCATAAATCGATGCCACCCATTTTCTATGTAGGCATTTTCAATTTTTATGGGTTTTTTCCCTGTTTATCTGACCAAGTTAAAATATTTAGAGCCTCCTCCAAATTCTGTATCTTTTGATAGTGGACAGTGGAAAAAAAAATAGGTGGTACCAATTAAAGAGGTTTGAGATATATCTGAATTATTTATCTTCAAAATAATTTAAAATGAACCTTTACATTATTGTATACACTCCACCCTTGGTGACAAGACTTCAGGCTTTTGGCTAGGCTACCTGAGGAAGATGCAGCGCCGCTAGCTAACATGGCAGGGAGCATTCCAGATATTGTCTGGCAGCCTGTAACCTCTGAGCGGCAGCAGCGAACAATGTTCCATGGCAAAGCTGTTCTTTCCACAGGGAGACCCGCCCAGCTACCTTGCCCTGCCCTAAAGAGGCCCCCGCATCACAGCGGAGGGTGCTGTTGCGACCTGCCTGTGATCTCCTGAATTTTCCTGAGCTTCTGGAGCTTCCTGGTTTTGGGAGATGTTTTGCCTGTCTGTTGTGTTGTCTTTTGTTGTAGGCCATCGTCGTTGTCCCTGCCTCCCCCCCGCCAGCCCCTGCCAGAATTGGTGAAGGAAAAAGTGAACCTGTGGCCTGAAGAACACTTACTAAGTGGTGGTAAAATGACGATTTTAAAGCAYGGCACTTGCTTCTCGATCATTAACCATGTCAAATTCTTTTGCTTATAAATGGAGCAAATCCACCCCAGGAGTTAGAATGACATTATGGAGTAATTTTATAGAGTAGAACTAGTCTCTGACAAGTTTTATTTAAAAACTTGGACAATCTCTTATCTCAGGACTTTCTTTTATAAAGCTTTAATTTTCCTCAGCATATTTCCATTAATTTACCTAAGTACATAAAAATCTTCTACCTCTGACCTTTCCCTATTTTAGTCATAGATAAAGGACTGGATTACGGTCAAAAGGCATGTAATTTTTATACTACCAAATAAAGAAGTCAATAAAGGTTTTGTAATAGTAGATAAGTATGTTTTTGCATGAAATGAAGCCAGAATGGTCTAAACAGTTGGAGACATTTTTTTAGCAAGTGACAATTTTTATTTCTTAGTCTTATTGATACTAACTACATTTCATCAAAAACCTTGAAGTATTCCTAGTTGGTATTTTAAAATCTTTTCTTTCTTTACTTACAACATTTAGAGGCTGAATATTGCTATTTGCCTTAGAAACCTGGGAATAGTACCAGATGCCCATTAATCTGCGCACTGTYGCTGCCTCTTTTAAGTGCTATCTTTGTGAATGAGAAAAGCAAACAGCTCCTGCACCAAAATGGGATGTTCTTCTAGGACAGGATTTGTGCAGGAGCATATTCTAACTGGAATTCTTTCCACTGTCTCATGTAGGGACAGACTACATTTCTACTATCCCCAATGCATATTTTAGATAAATTTTCTCTTCCCCATCCCCCCCTCCCATTTTTTCCCCCAATAATTCCCAGGCCTAAATTAAATAGGAGAAACAATGCTTGGTTCTCCTAAAATGAAGCCATGCCATCCAGATAAACTGACTCTTTCTTTGTGTTACAAAGACAGCATGTTTTCTAAGTCTGTAGTGAAACATGAAATAATATATTTTCCTTCTCCCTCTGGGTCTCATTAATATCTACAATTAGTTAAAACAGAAGACTTTAGCATGGCCATATTTAGAGACATTTCTAATTTCACAGTGGTTTGTGAATCCTCCACCCTCTTTCCCCAAAACCTTAGTTATGCCAATTTAGCATCTCATGAGACTGTCTACTTTATCTTTAGTAGTATTGCCCATCTTTGTTTTGTTTAGGCATGTTTTCCCTTGACATAATTTCGAAACCTTTTGATTGCCAAAACCCTGTGGAATTCAAGTAACCAAGACAATCATGACTCTCCTGCATTGTTTTTGGATGTCATCATGTCTACCAGTTGACTGTTTCCTTTGAATAATTTAAGGACAGTGATGACTCTGAAAGTCTTAGAGGATGTGGCACAATGAATTAACCAAGTCCTCTGTGGGGAAACATTGTGTGAAAAAAACCCCAAATAAACAGACAAGAAAGAGCRAAAAAGCTTCATCCTCTTTCAAAACCAGCTGATACAGGTTTGCACAGCCTTCTGCAGGTTCTCAAAACTCTGTTCTGTGTCTCTTGTCCTTTCCTCTGAGCTGGCTGGAGGTCCCCTTTGTATGGTGGGAGCAGGAGGGAGCTCTATGGAGCCCTTGCTGGTACCCATCTACATGGGCAGTGTGGAGGGTGCTGGCACTCACAGAGCCTTGAGCAATCCAAGCACCGTCTGGCTCTTCTACTGATCCTCAAATTTAGGCATAATCTTTCTTGTGCATGCTACCCCTAAAATAAGATTAGTTAAACTAAAGGCAGAAAGCTGCATAAAATAATCCAGAGAATAAAATGATAAATCTTCGGTGAAAAAAGCCCTACCGAACATTAACTTCTAATTTTGTGGAAAGTGCTGTACTCCACCAAACACCCATTCACCTCCTCAGTGCCTCAGGGTGGAGGGGGCAGGGGTGACAGGAACTGCAAAGCAAAACCTTCCAACTTTGTGTAGCCTCATGCTTAGTGTTTTGTTGCCAGGTGTGTCTCCTCTGGGCTGCACACTTGTACCACATACCTTGTGACAGCTCTAGTGCTTGTCAGAGCTCCTGGCACTGCTTGGTCAGGAGTCAAGTGAGAATTTATCCCACTTCCCTGAAGAGTCACATGTGTGCAGGGAGAGCACAGAGCAGTCAAGGTGGCACCAAAGCAGCCAGATGTGACATGGTGGGTATGGGATGGTGGAGAGATGAGGGGGCAAAATGCATTGAGAAAAAAGAGAGTGGAGCAGCTGCTAGGTAAGCTGAGCTGCCCAAAGGGTAATGGCCTTGGTGATCAGAAGGGACTGGTGGTGCTGGTCACAATGTCTTCTGCTTCTGAGGGGACAGCAGTCGTTCTCCTCTGTGTCTGTTGGTGTTTTGGCCCATGGCCATTAGCCTGTGGGGTACTCCAAGTAAGAGTTTTACCTTGATTTGACTGTAGTTTGTGGAGACTGACTCCAGATTCCCTTCAAACTAAAGCTGTCAACTAATTATTGCCTGGCCAGAGCAGACTGGGTGTTTGGAAAGGCTTTGCTGCTTGGTCAGGGTACTTTCTTGGCTCTTTATTGAAGCAGGRCCTGTGACACACACCTTTCCACCCAGCTAAGTGCTGGAAACACCAAGCTGTGTGGTCTTCCTTTTACTGTCACCATTATTTACCTGGTGCAAAGAGGAACAGATTCAAGTAGAGGGGTGCAGAAAACTCTCCCCAGGCTGCATTTGAACAGCTGGAGCAGAACTGTGGGGTTTGTTTGTTAAAAATTTGTTGAACAGATAAAGCATTTATCAAGGACGTTCCATTCTGACTCCTGATTAAGAGACAAGACTCATTTTTCTTCTGCCCTTCAGTTTGCTGTGGAAAACCTGTTTTGTTACATGTCTTCAAAAATGTTTACTTGAATAGGTCCTGCAGGTGAGGCAAGTGGAGTGGAAAATGAGACTCGTGATCTTTGTCAGGTCTGTGGATGTGGCAAAGGACCGTCTCAGAAGAGTTAGTGCTCAGGCTCGGGATTTCTGTAGGTCAGAAGCTGCTGAGCCTGCCATGCAAGGCTGAGCATCTGCATCCCATGGTTATGCAAGTATGGATTCCTTCAGCAAAGAAATTGATTTATAGTGTCCCATGTATCTTGAAAAATACAGTAATCACCAGATTCCAAATCCCCTTAATGAATCTAATAACTCAATTTGCATGTTGAAAATAAAGCACAGTTGTGTTTTTGCACACTTGTAACACAYCACCTCACTGAGCTGCAGTAAAGGGTTTCCTGTGGTTCCCGGAAGCTTCTTGTCCTATTGTTGCTGTGCAGAAGGGCTATGCAAATTCCCTAGAGCCAAAGCAAAGCTGCTGTTCTTCTCAGTGAGTGCCAGGATTGTGCCTGCTGCATTGTGTGCAGTCCAGAACAGCAAACATCTATCACATTGAACTCCCAGGGCTCAGCTGTGCCTTAAAGACATGGTTTAGCTTTTAACAGAGCTGATCAGCACGCAGTGTTCTGACTGTCATTCCTAAAGAACAAAATGACAGATGGGCTTATGATACGTTTGTCTGGAGGTAGAGAATGAGAAGAGCAAGTTGATTACTAATTACCTTCCCACCACTGAAAGGAGAAATGTCCCCATGCTTGACACAATTCGCATRGACGTGTCAAAATTAATGAACTTTTTCACCCTCAGCTGTCCCAGGGTGAGCTTCACACCATTGTGTCCCGTGTGGCCCTGAGATCTGAATGCAGCCATTTGCATTCAGCAGGGCAGCACAGACACAACGTGAGAGTTCRAGAGTTTTAAAATTCATCTGTGTCATCGTGGCTGCTTCGCAACAGGAATGCTGCTGAGTAACAGCCGAGGGTCATATCAGTGCATTGTTGCCATTGCTCCTTTTCGTTACACTTTTTTTTTAATCAGTAAAATAATTTTTCTTTCAGATCTGCTGTTCTGATTACTATTTCTAAATTGGTATGACCGGTCTGAAGCAATACATAAAATTGCAATTCCATTTAATTATTGTTGGTTTTATTTGTTATTCAAGTTTTGGGATGAGTTTAGACACATGAGACATCCAATCCAGCTGTGCAAGAAGACACAGTAATCTTAGATTAGGTACTCCTGGGGGTGAGCTAAGGTGTCAGGATTGTGTCCCTAATGGCTGTATGTGCCAGACAAATTGTCTTAATTTTAAATTATATTTAAAAGTGGTTACAGTTAAGTGCTGGTAAGTTCCTTCATGTGAAAAATCTTTATGAGCTACTACCCATTACATATTTCATTTGATTATTTTTTAAATACTGCATTAACAGTTTTGTCTCATGACAGGTCTATTATTCTAACAATTCAGTAGATACATTAAATACTGCAGAATAAATTATCACTTAATCCTATACCTAAAAAGAATAGGGTTTGGACATGTTTTCAAAATTGATCAATGAGATCTATCAACTCAGACTCCAGAATTCTTCACTAGTTCTTGTCATATTGAGAGATGATTATAGAGGTGCTAAAAGCAGTGCATTGCTTGACTAGGCATGAAAATAGGAATAATTTGCAGGGCTGCATTTGAAAAATAAAATTGGAATAGTGAAGCACAGCTATCTGGCAATGGATACAGAGGCTGAAATCTTGAGGAGTATAGCTGCTGCTGCTATTTAGGTAAGTGCTCTAGGCCATTTTCCTGGATTTGAAAGCTGATGCAAAACAAGTTAAGTGATGCAGCCAGTATATTGGGTATTCTATTTATTCAATTTTTGAGACTGCCTTGAAAGCCATAAGGTGGCTGACCCTTAATGACAGCAATTTGTTTTCCTTTTGTGCGATTATGGTGGGTCTTTATTGTCAATCTAATCAGTAGCAGAGGGTTAGATCTTCATGTGGGACTAATTCAGTGTTTCTGGGTGTTTAATCTGAGGAAGGTAATATCAGAGAGTTGAGCACTCAAGTGCTGCTCACAGTCTATCTGAGTTAAAAAAAAATCTGTTGTAATCTGAGCCCTTTTGGTTTTGAAAACAGGCCCCATCAAAACACATTTCACCATCTGCTTTTGTTGCTCTTGGTCTTTTTAGTCTAACTTTTCACTGATCTGTTTTTCTTCTTTCTCCTCCKGCTTCTTGGTTCCCTCCCAATATCCAGAGCACAAACTATCATTGCTGTGACAGAGGGCGGGCTGCACCTTCTCCGCAGCACTCAGATATTTTCCTCATGGCTCTCCGCTTGAAGTCGACCTTCCCTCTCTCTTTCCTGAGAGCCGTGTACTCGTAGGCCTTCAGCTTGCTGTAATAGTCTGAGAAYTTGTTGTAGAGGATGGAGATGGGCATGCCATTCAGGATTATTCCAAAAGCAATGCAGAGGAAAGCAAACAGGCGACCAAGGTGAGTTTCTGGACACATATCCCCATATCCCACTGTAGAGATGCTGACCTACAGGCAAACCAACATGCAGCCTATTAGCTGAGAACAAATGCATAAACAGATTATGTTCACTGATCAGGGACAATTTCAAAGGTGACACTTTYATACTTCACATTGCAAGTCTGAAATGCTCTGTGCTGCTTTTTTTTTTTTCTTTATTTTTTTTTTTTGTGTGCGTCATCTATTTTATKCAAAATATCCTAAATTAAAAAAAAAACAACAACAAAACAAGCCCTCTCATGTAGTAAAGAAAGACAACCGTTTGACACCATTCTGGAGGATTTTTATATTTTTGCCCTGAAGAGGAAATTCCTAGATGATTTCCAGCCAGCCTGTCCAGAAGGTGAGTTTTCTTGGCTGTAGTGTCTCCCTGACCATGCAAATCCCCTAATAGCTGCAACCCGGCTTCCTCATCATGTCACTTGGAACAGATGCCCTGTTTCTAAATCCAGTGTGCTGATAAAACCCTGTATTTGGGGCTTATTCTGAGGGTTGTATTTGGAGTTTTACTTTTGTTTGTCATATATATTTTAGGAACAAATGAAAACCACATGAAAATCTTCAGCTAATTATGAAATGCATTTTTATAATATTTGCATTATAGGAAGAAGTGATCCAGGACTTTAAAGTTTCTGGATAAAATCCCCTTTAATTATTACATACCTACAAGGAACTGGAGTTGCACCAGTAATATCCACCCTGGATGGGTAATTTTTGCTGAATTCCCTTTTGAAGAAGGATTTGGGGGTTTAAAATGTTTTGACTTTGGTTTGTTGGGTTTGTTTTGGTTTTTTTTTTTTTTTTTTCATATGAATCTGTGCATTTGGCCATCTTTTTATGTACATAGCTTCACAGACATTTTTCTTTTCAGGCAATGTAATTTTTTCTCTTTTTAGCCCACAGATATATGAATGAACCATGTTACAGACCCAGTGCTTATGGMCACCAAGTACTGAAATAATACTATTGTAAAATTCAGATCAAAAATTCATGAATGTCTGATAAGGGAGATGCCACATATGAGGGATATACTCCCAAACAGTTGGTATAAGTCCTGATTTATATACTTCCACTGCACTCATCTTGATATTTTATAATTTTTACACTTAGTAAATATAAATATACATATCTATAAATATAAATATRTACACTTACTTTCCTCTGGCAGGTGAATCTTGCAGATTTCTGCAACCTGCCACTTTCTAGTCTGTACAAGGTGTCTCTTTCAGCAAGTGAATTTTATTTTTTTCACAATGTCTCAATAGACTGTGTGTATCTGTTAAACAGTAATCTAAAACTCTGGCAGAAATAAGCCACAGACAGTAGGACTTTCACTGTAATGCTCTTGTGGCTTTAGCACTGAAATAAGTCTTCAGAAGGTCACTGTGTACAGTTTGCTATCCTCTAACATGCTAAATAGAATGGAGTTTCAAATGAAAAAAGCATTAGGGTACATGAGACATTGGGTGAGCACAGTTTTAGGATGCACCTGGTGCTTCCTGTGGAATAAAAAGGATTAGTCATTTGGTTTAATGGAAATTAAGTCACTGGATTTGAATGATAATACAGGATAAATATCTCCAAAAATAAATACTGAGATGAAGGCAAGATGTTTATCTCTACCAGCCAGGACAAAAATATTATCCTGTGATAAGGTTCCATACAATTGGAATAGTCTTATATATTGCCTGTAACAGTTTAGGACGGATCCTTCTCCTGCATGTGTGAGATAGTGAATGCTGTAGAATTTTAATAAAATTAGAATGACATATATATATATATATATATATATATATATATATATATATATATTAGTTTACAGTCTTAAGGTACGAAAAGGCTTTAAAAACTGCTTTTTACTTTGAAATTGCAGTGTGCATGATACAGCTCCTGTTTTGAAGACATTTGTTCAGTTAAATAGGCCTTTTTCACCTAGTCATATAATTTCTTAGGAATATCTAAATTATTATGGTGCCATCAGTTTGCAAAAATAGTCCCTGAAGATTTTGCGTGTAACCTGCATGTTCAGAAAATAAAATATTAGGCTAATGYCGTTATGCTAGCAATGTATGAATCATCAATATTTTCATAACCTGTGTGTATTACTTACAGATGATCTTTGAAGGTCACATTACAGAACCCTTTACTTTATTCACCAATTTTTCCATCCTTCCATGGCCCATAAATAATAAAGGATATTCAGCCTAGTTACATATATGCATGTGTACATATAAATGTATTCATCTATGCTKGTCTGTAAGGCTGTTTTTTTGCCTTTTCTGAATTGCTACAAATGTGTGGTAAACCACMACAGCTCATCGGCCGTGGCTGAGCCAGAAGTGCAGACCATGGGCTCCAGGATGGCTGGACAGGAGAAGTGACTTTGGATGGGTTGGGATTGCTGTGCTGTGGGCCCCATGTGCAGCTCAGTGCATCCAGAGTCTGTGCTGATCAGCCAGCATGACATGGTCTAACTCCTCTCCAGTCCAGCCAGACACAGCCAGACCCACAGCCAGGCCCAGGGCTCAGAAGTGCTCCTGGGGGTTCCCATAAAAATGGGCTATGGAGGGCAGCATCAGCTGCTGCCAAACAAAATGTGTGTGGCAATAGGCTAAGACAAGCCTTAGGGTTACGGATGGCCAAGATGTGGGTCCTGTGCCTTCCCTCGGCATCTGCAGTGTCTGTTATGCCCTGGTTTCATCCAGGATGCTATGGACACACACATCTTCTGCAGCACRGCAGAACACAATCTCTTGTGTAATACAACTATTGGTCCTAATGGATTTTTAATGGCTAGAATTCTGGGACAGCTTTCACTTTTAAAGTTTGAGTCATCTGATTATAGTTAATAGAATATTTGTTATCTTGCAGTTGTTTAATGGGTTCACACAAGATCTACAAATAGAATAAGAAGGAAAACCCTGTGTCCATCTGTAACTAGATAGCCTCATGCATGCCTTTTTACTCACTATTTTTTTTGGCAACAGTGACAATGGCATTAAGTGGGGAAATTATTTTATTTCCTGTCTCTTTGCCCACTTCTTCTTTAAAAGTGAAAATACTTTCTGCATTTGGAGACACAGGAATTTCAACACTGCCTGCCTGATTAAGCCTCAATTTAATCTTACAGAAAGGTGAATGAGTGCCTGTGTGTGTGTGTGAGTGTGGGCTTATGTTGTGTAAGCTCAGAATTCAGAGCAGATGTTCACTGATCTGAGCTTGTTGTTTTCAAAACTGTCAGCAATGCCAGCAAGGAGGAGGGGAAGGAAGGGAGGGTCTCTGGCKACCCAGCAAGGTAAGATGTGTTTACTTACGGCAGCCCACCACCAAGCRTGGGGAATGCTGGTGAAGTTGGTACTGGAGACGTCATGCTCCACTGTGTAGACCATGGCAGAGAAGGCAAAGATGCCCATGGCAATGAAGAGCAGAAGGCAGCCCACCTGCTGGTAGCACTGGCGCAAGGTAAAGCCAAAGGCACGCAGCCCCGTGGAGTGGCGGGCCAGCTTGAGGATGCGGAAGATGCGCATGAGGCGCATGATGCGCAGCACTTGTCCCACCTTGCCCACCCGTCCCACCTTCTCGATGTCGTGCTCGTGCTGGGAGCCCCGACCCCGGGGCTGGTCGTCRTCAGTGAAACATTCGAGCAGCAGCTGCAGATAGAGGGGCAGGATGGCAATGAGATCTACGGCGTTGAGGGCACTGCTGGCAAAGCGGCGCAGGTCTGGGGTGGACACCAAGCGCAGCAGGTACTCCAGCGTGAAGAACGCAATGCACAAGGTCTCAACGTGCTCCAAGATAGGCCGGCTATCCCCACTCTTCCACGCCACCTGCTGCATCTCCTCCACCGTGTTGAGCGCCAGGGCCACCACGGAGATGAGCACGAAGAAGCTGGAGGCCACTGCCATCACTTTGGCAGTGACAGAGGAGAAGGGTTTCTCCATGAGGTTCCAGAGGCGCCAGCGCTGGGGACCGTAGTAGCGCATGTGGTGGAAGAGCTGCTCATTCTCCTCAGCCTCTGCCTGGGAGCGCAGCTCCCGCTGGACCTTCAGCTGCTCGCTCAGCTCGTCGCGGCGCTCCTCGAAGCAGATACGGCAGCAGCGGGGTGTGTATTTGAGGCGCACCCCCCAGTAGCTCAGCTCCTCCAGGAAGCTACGGGGGCACAGCTCGTCCCGCACCCGCAGCACCCCTGAGGCGTAGAAATTGTACACCAGCTGGAACACAGACGGGTCCCGGTCAAAGAAATACTCATCGACCTGGGCAGCGTAGTCATCGCACAGCCCCAGCTGGCAACGGCGGTCAGTGGAGGTGGCCAGGCGGCCCAGGCGGGTCTTGGGATAGACGGCCACTGCCTGGTAGGTGAGGCGGTAACTTTGGCCACCAACATTGATGTTCAGTATGGATGGAGCAGATGCTGTGGCTGGGGCTCTAGAGGAGAGAGCAGGGGACCAAGGAATGAACGATGAGGCCTTGTTTTCTCCATTAAATGCATCTTCTTGTGACCATTTTCCTTGTTCTTTCTCTTCATCYTCCTCATCTTCATCATCCACATAATAGTTGTAACTCCCCTCAGGTTCCTGTGACTGTAGGGGCTGAGCATTCAAGGGGGTAGTAGCAGAGGAGCCTCTCTGCTTGTTTGTGTGCGTGACTTCTTCATCCTTCCCCTCGCTGGGCTGCGGGAGAACATTTGGGGCTTCCATCTCTCTGCCTTTGTGCTTCAGCAAATGAAACTCTTGCTGCCTGTTGAATTGCAACATGATATTATTCCTTGCTCTTCTCTCCTCTTTGCATTCACCTGATCAAGCAGTTAACACCAGTCCTTTCCAACACTGCAAAAGCTGACAGCCCAGTTTTCTTCTCTCTTTATCTCGGTAGTATCACACACAGCAGTGGTTCCGCATATTCCTCCCTGCCAGCCCCTACTCCAGTTGTTGTGAAAGCTCTGTGTGGGATATAGACACATGAGGACTGCTGTTGACTGTTTTAATCTTGCTGACAGCAAAGATCCGAGCGCTTAGAGGAGGGGATTTAAGGGCTATTATCCTGTTCCAGCCTCGTTTCCCTCGGACTATGACGTGAACGATTATGGATCCATAAATCTATGAAAAATCAGTAGGATGGGAAAACCCCTGAAGTTTTATTGCTAATAAAACCCACACATTTTCCTATTTCATCARTATATGGATTAAAAATAGTCTCAATAAAAATGTATGAGAGGTGGAGAGAGAGAGAGAACATTACAGAATTCTTTCATCCTCATGAGCATAACATGGCTTGGTTTTCCGTAATGAAAATAATGAATAATTGATATGCAGATAAAGGGTRGGAACTCACTAGAGTAGCTCTTAAAATATTTTCAAAAGGTGAGCAAACAAAAGTAATTTCATTTTATTCCCGGTTAGAATACCTCCATTTGGCTAAGAGCTGAGGAAAGTTGCAGTCTGTGCCTGAAGCTTTGGCTGTGCTCTGGAAGTGCAGGTCTAAAGCTTTGCTGGGCTCAGGTGGAAGTGAAGGGCAAGGGGTGTGAAGGGATTTCCAGCTTCAAACTCTTCATGATCTRCTGAGAAACAGCGTGAAGCCCCTCTTATTTCTCTTGCAGATCGTGTTGGACTAGTATAAAGCTGCAGCAAGGTAACCAGCGGAACAGGAGAGATGCTTTCCCTGTGTTTGGATGGAGGTTTCAATGAGCACCAGAATTCATGTGATTATGAACATCTCAAAACCCAGGTTACTTCCCTTGTCACTGGGAACACTTCAGCTAAGCTGAAGCTTCTGTAAAGYGGGACATAAACAGAACAAAATGTTGGTTCCTTGTGCGTGCTCTTAGCACCTGTCTTACAACTTCTATGCACCAGCTTGTTATTCCACCTGTATCCAGGCTGCTGCAGGAGGGGACAAGGCACAGGGAAACCACTAGCTTTGGCAACACCCTCACTGGTCTGSAACGCCTCCCATCTGCAATCCTATAGCCTGCAGCTATAATCCTAGAGCCTGCAGCAATCCTATAGCCAGCTATAATCCACTTGCAGCTCCCTACCCTTTCACTTAAGATGCTGGGACAGAGTATCCCAGCTCCCCTGCAGCAGTATTTTCACTTTGTTGTCCTCATGCTCCTGTTCTTCTGTCACTGGTTTCATGTTCTTGCACCTGCAGACCCCAGAAATCAARCTGTCCAGGACAAGCTGTGAAGGACAGCAAAACGTGTTTTATTTTTTGGGGGGGGGTTTTTTTGGGTTTGTTTTTTTTTTTTTTTTTTGGTTTTATATGTTAATAGCAAAAAAAGGATCAGAAGTAACATTGGTTCATTGCTTAATGAGATTCAAACAGGATTGCACAGAAAATGATGTCACCTTCATATCTGTGAAGGTAACATATTCTCTGACACAGCAGAGAATGATGACACCTTCTTATCTGTGTTCAACACCAATGAAGGACTGAGTTCCTTGGAGCCTGGTGTTGGAAGACTGTCACTTGGGGAATGATAGATTCCCAGGCAATCCTGAAATTGTTTGAGATTTGCTGTTTCAGTTGGATACACACAGGTGTATGAGGCCAGATGAAAGAACTGGCTGATGTGATTGGCAGTACCACTCTTTYGTTATATTTCATTTATCTTGTGAGTCTGGAGGTGTCTCAGTCAACAGGAACCTGGCAAAATTTTTCCCAGTTTCCAAAAAGGATAAGAAGAAGACTCTGGAAATTATAGACCTGTCATTTCCAGTGCAGCACATGGTAAAATTATAGAGAAAATTATTATGGGAGTTACTGACATTTGATAGACAGTGGAGTCATTTGTCACMGTGAGTAGGGGTGCACAAGGGAAAAGTCCTGTTTGACCACTTTAATTTTCTTTTATGTTGAAGTCACCCATCTAGGTGACCAAGGTAAGCTAGGGATTTTTTTTTTAATTTTAGCAGAGCTTTTGGTACTGTCTGCCACCTTGCTGGATAAACTGCCTGGCATACAGCTAGTTGAGTCCATAATACATTGCATGAACAACTGGCTGATGGGTTGGGTCAAAGGGTTTTGGTAGATGGTGTTACATCAGGCTGGAAGCCAGGAATCAGAGGTTCCTCAGGGCTTTGTTTTAGGGCCAGTGCACTATAATGTTTTTATAAATGATCTGGTTGCAGGGATCAAATGTGCATTAAGTAAGCGTCGTGATGACACTACACCAGGAGGAGTTCTGGACTCCTTTGAGGGTGGAGAGGCTCTGCAGAGAAATATGGTTAGATCGGAGATTTGGACAACTACCAACCATAAGGAAAAAAGAGAAAGCAAGATCAGTTGCAGGACTCWCCACCTGGGATGTGCTAATCCTGGATCAGCATAAAAACTGGAGGACAAGAGGCTTGGGGAAAGAAATCTGGGGGTTTGTTTTGGTGGCAGATTGAACACTGCTGGMTAGCAGTGCCCTGGCAGTCARGARGGMCACCCRTGTCCYGGGGGCATCAGGCACAGCATCACCAGCCGGGCAAGGGAGGGGATTGTCCTGCCCTGCTCTGCACTGGGGCAGCCTCASCTCAGTGCTGGGGGCAGCTTTGGGTGCCACAATAGGACTGTATTGAGCTATTAGAGGGTCCAGAGGAGTGTGACCAAGATGAAGAAGTTCTCAATGGCAAGACTGAGGCCACTTGGTTTCCTCAGCTTGGAGAAGGCTGAGGTGATCTCGGGGCACCCTATGAGTTCCTCAAGGTGGGCAGTGGAGTGAGAGGTGCTGATCTCTCTCTGGTGTCTGGTGATAGGACATGGGGAAGTGGAAGGAAGCTGCATCAGGGGAAGTTCAGACTGGATATTAGGAAAAGGTTCTTCATGGAGATGGTGCTCCCCAGGGAAGAGGTAATAGAAGACTGTCAGAATTCAAGGACTGTCTGGACAATGCTCTTMGTCTTATAGTTYGGTTTCAGATAGCCCTACAAAGAGCAGGGATTTGGACTCAGTGATTTTTATGAATCTCTTCAAACTATTGAATGACTCTGAGGTTCTATGGATAGAAGAAGAAATGCAAAAAYTTAGCAGTCAGTAACATTGGAGAATGCTGTCCAATCAAGCAGATGGTGCTCTGGATACAAGCTTCCTGAGAACAGGATTTTCACAAGAGAAAACTATAATTAAAATGGAAGACAGTAATAAGAGCATGAGTCTTCGCAAACCTTCATTTTTAGGAGCATTGACTTTTTCCCGGACAGGAGCTGGATAATTGTAATGTTCTTTCACTGAGCAAATCAGCTTCAGAACTGAATAGATGTGCTTTTTCTTGGTTTAAAAATAAGAGAATTTTTAAATTAAAATTACTATAAAGAATTTATGTGATCCTGTAAAGCCTCACTGGATTAGTTCCTACCTCACTAGAGGAACTTTTCATAGATTAGTAGTTTTTTAAGGTCAGGAAAGGCCTGTAAGATCAATGACCCCAGAACTTCACTCAGTAATTTTGCCATTGTTTRTGTTTCAAAGGGTCCAGCCAAGCTCTTTCTTTAACACCCAGTAACCTCTACAACTATGCTGATCACGTGGAAGATACTGCTAATTGTGATTATTAACAATGTAATAATTAATAATGTCCTGTTTATAATTTTAGGGCACTCAAGAAGCATAATAGGGCTGAAGGTATCAGACTGACTGCAGTGTCTGCTAGAACTATAAAGGGTGACTCAGCAAATAAGAGAATTAGGATTCTGTCTGCCTCTCCACATACCAGTAGGCTGCAAAGAGTRATAGTCAAAAAAATGAAAATAGAATTAAATTTTTTAAAATTCCTGAGCTAGAGCTTTCCCAAAATACCAGATCTGCTTAGAGTTGAGGCAACATTCACTCTACATTTTGTCTCCACTCAGTTCAATTAGTTAGATTCACATGCAAACAGGTGAGAAAGGAGATCCTTTCTGCTCTGTAATTTCAGGTGTCTTTGCACCTCATCACCCTGGAAGACTTTCTCAGCCACCAGAATGCCTTGCTGCTGCTGAACAAATGCTTGCCTGCTCATTGCTTACTCCATTTCTGCTTGTTTGTTTTTTTCCCCGCTCACTTGCCAACCCTGCTGCTGCAGCCACACAGATGAGGCTTAGAAAAGATGAGTAAGTGGGAAGAGAGGGTAATTAAGGGGTGAGATAATCAGCATCACCTAGTCCAGCTCTTCCTGCTTCCAGGGAAGAGCCCGTGAAATCCCTTGCCATCATGCATCAGTATTGCCTTCACCTGGAGSGGGAAAGAAAGCAGAGAGCGCCAGCTACAGACACAGACAAGAGGCAAAGGGACAGTCTGATGCTGTCACCTTGTCACCTGAGCATTTGGGCTGTGTCAGCAGGGCAGCATCAGTGATGTATGTCCAAGGGGTGTAGCAGCAGACTGCAGCAGCATATCTGAGTCCAGAGACCCAGGACGAACAACACGCTCTCCCACTGCTGGTTTGTATCAATGTGTCCTTGTTGCTATCTATTTCCCCTTCTGCCACTCTGTACTGTCTCTTTCATCTCCCAGTGAATTTCTACTTATTGTCATAAATTTAAATTTTAAATTTAAAAAAAAAAAAAACAGATAAACCCACAGTGTTTACATGCTTCAGGAAGTCAGTGCATTACAGCAACAAACACACATGAAAATGTGACACACAGAAAAGTCTGCCTTAGGGAGTTCATAAACCCTTTTTACAGATGAGATTATGAATAACAAAGTGAATTAACCTGGAAGCAAGTAAGAAAATAATAAAACAGTATTTTCTTTATTTCATATAGCTAGGCTTTTCACTGGGGCTTGCTTACTCTATGCAATGGCTGATTCATAACATCAGCATCTCTTCAGACACAGGCAGCTGGTGCCAGCTCTGCAGTGAGCACAAACAAACAGAAAAAGCACATAACAGCAGCAGCAAGAAYAAATTTTACTGAATTAGTGAGAATTAATGTCAMCTATATGTAGAGAAACAGGAACTAYGCTGCAAGCAGAGCCCGAGTCAGGACAGTAACACATTGATAAAGATTATGGGAAGAGTGACTTGTGCAACCAGGTTTCATGTTTTCTGAGCATTACAGATTTATGAGAATAAGCACTTCTTTTGCTGACAGAGTTGCCAGTTTTGCTTTGAGAATCT